TCTACTGAACAAATCAGTTACACGTTACTAACTGGTAAACATTGGACTCCGCCTTGACAGCAGGATGAATGCCTAGACTTATACGTACTAGCCGTACAGCAAGACATACTTAAAGCATACGAAAATCGTTCGCCTTTCCATCATAACCTAAGATTTAAAGAGACTCGAGCTACTGAGGCATTGGCAAGCCCCAGCGACATTGTAATGAAGCCGGCAGATAAAGGTGGTGCAGTTCTGGTAATGGATGCTAAAAGCTACATTGACGAAGCCCAGAGGCAACTTGACGATACGACATACTACAGACACCTTAGCAATGACCCAACAGAACGATTCAGATGCACTGTCAGTGATGTTATGGGCGACCTTGTGAAAGAAAACAGAATCGCTCAATCTGCGTTGCGTACGTTTATTCCCCTGTTCCCGGTGGCGGGCAGGTTTTACACCTTCCAAAGATTCATAAAGAAAACAGTCCCGGTAGACCGATCGTGTCTGGAATAAGCACGGTTACCGAGAACATCTCACACTATGTTGATAGCATTATCTGTTCCATTCCTGTCACATTTCCTTCATATATCAAAGACACGAACGACTTTCTAGACGATATCAAGAATTTATACATTCCTGTTGGCTGTTTTTGGTAATTCTGGATGTTTGCTCTTTGTAAACAAATATTCCGCACTCTGATGGTATCAGGACTGTTGTGCGTGCATACAACGAGTCTGATATCGATAAAGCAATCGATTCATCCACACTGGCCACGTTTCCTAAGTTAAAGGGATCGTGAAACAAAAATGAGAACTTCCCGGTTGCGATTTTCCCTGATTTAATAAAGATTGAACATACCGATTTCGAAATATTTCGGCACAATACACTTCCTGTAATTAATGATGACAGTTTAGAATTGCAGTTTTTTGAGGATCGCTAGCGACTATGCACGACCGTGAGTCGCTATAAGCACTAAAATGTGACTTCAGTGTGACTTCAGAAAAGTGAAAAACAGAGCGTCAGCTTTACTTTGCTCGAAAGAAATATAATTATAAGATAATAAAAAAACAACAGAGTTGTTTTTGTGCTCTGAGTTCTAAGCTGTACAATTACAATAAGTGACCTGCTTGGTTCTGCTTTCTACTACATACGGGCTGTCACGTGTGTACCCATGCCTTCGCGTTGGTTGCCTTTGCTCGGATACGTTGGCTAGCTTGGTCGGTGCTGTCAGTGCAACGTCCCAGTTTTTTTTTCTTACTGGATACACCAACTTGTGTTTTACTGTGTGTTCTCGCTGGCTTAGTCCTCGCTATGCCAACTGTGTGCATCGTCAGACAGTGCCGCACAACTTATGGAAGTGCAAACAAGGTTCGCTTTCACAAGCTGCCCAGCGAGCCTCAGCGCAGAGCAGCGTGGCTTCGAGCTATTAACCGTGATGTCCCCGCTGGTATGGGATCAGGGAGTGGGTTCGTGTGTTCCGACCACTTTCTGCCGCAAGACTACGAAACCAACCTCAATGTCCTTCGGAGTCTTGGTTTTGACACAAAAAACGCTCGCCTCAAGCGTGACGCCATTCCGACGCAGAACCTCCTACTCGACGCACCACTGAAAAAGCTGAGGAGATGCGAGGTAAGTCTACCACACAGGCGTGCGCCAGGGGGAGGGGGTAGAAGCCAGCCACATACGTAACAATATAGGGAGGGGGAAGCGAGAGGTGGCGCAAGATCAGCCACATATGTTGACATGATAGGGAGAGGAGCAGGCGCCACGACGAATTATACTCCCTCTCCCTAAAACCCTGCGCGCGTTGCTCAGGCGTGCCTTGCGAGGAACGGTGCTTTGAACCCACGCACTGTTCTCGGCGACCCGCGCTGTAAAAGCAGAGCGAAGGTGGCAGCCCTTCCTATTGATTTGTTTATAGAACTTCAAAATGCGCAGCGTATATTCGACCACTCTCCATCATGAATGGGGAGCGTCATGACCCCCCCCCCCCCCGATGTTCATGGGACGTTCTTATTGGATTGTATTAATGTTAACTCGTACTTGAAGGTACAATGTCAAAAGGCACTGATTACGTAAGATACAGGTGCTATAGAGCGTCTACGCACTGTCAGAAACGTCACTTTTATGTCAATGAATTCAAGAGTCAATGCAGATAGATTCACTCAGACTTGGGTGAAACCGTAAGGCTGAGTTTGAGTCCAAGTAAGTCTGGTTCTGGAAAATTTGGGTGGCTCCGAGTCAGAGTCAGCTCTCAGAGCAAAATATCTAGCTTGAGTAATCTGCGTGAGCGCCAACATTTTCGCCGACCTGTTCTGGTGTATGAGACAAGAAACGCAGTGACGCGTGCCTTGCTATCTAGTTCAAAAATAGGCGTAAACGAATAAAAAGCGCTGAATGAGATTTCGCATGGCGATTAGACCAGTAGCAGAAGGTAAAGCTATGTCGTAGTTATGTACGTGAAGTTCTTCAAGCACGTTTGATTGATTTGTGGGGTTTAACGTCCCAAAACCACCATTTGATTATGAGAGACGCCGTAATGGAGGGCTCCGGAAATTTGGACCACCTGGGGTTCTTTAACGTGCACCCAAATCTGAGTACACGGGCCTACAACATTTCCGCCTCCATCGGAAATGCAGCCGCCGCAGCCGGGAATCGAACCCGCGACCTGCGGGTCAGCAGCCGAGTACCTTAGCCACTAGACCACCGCGGCGGGGCTTCAAGCACGTTTAGACACGCGGTTATAAAGCTGACACGAGCATAAAAAAATGCTCGCATACATGCTTCAGCAGGCCTGTGCTGTCTGCGCAATGAGCGGCTCCCGTATTATAAATTTGGAAGCATATGTGTAGTTTGGGGCTTGTCGCTTTGGCCACGTGACAACTTGGCTTTTTTTTAACTTTTCTTTAGGAACGGCCCCATTCCCAGGACGTGGTCGATGCATCAATGCCCGAGGAAAGCCAAATTTCACCACAAATGGTTGAAGATTGCACACATCTCTCCAAATCTACTTGTGCTGTTGCTTGCCAGACTTACGACATTCTACCTCGAACGGTTGGGAACTGCACGCAGACTACCACAACTACTTGTACTGATGCTTGCCAGACTAGTGGTAGTGATGTGCGAACACAATGTAAGATTTTTTTCGAAGAATTGGTGTGCTGATTTTCCGAGAACCTTAGAAATTATTGTAGTAATAGGCCATTTTTTATGCTACTTCCTCAGATTTTAATATTATGAACAGGAACGGTGGATTTATTAGTGCCCCATTTTTCCACTGAAATATGTGTATGCTGAACAAATTCTGTAGGTGGCAGTCGTGTTGTGAGGTCGATATAGTAAAACTGTCAGAGAGTTTTGTGTAAATTATTTTTCGAATCTGAGGAGGACATATTGCATTTTAGTGGCAGATAGCAAGAGTATAGCCTATATTAAAACCGGTGTGCGTACCCATAAATAACTGATAAGGATATGCCTGCTAGGAATCCATGAACAAAAAATTAACTTAGAATATTCTGTGCGCTCTATTTACTGGCATTAAAATTGCCAAAAGCTGTACCCTTCGGCACTATACCAATGGTATTTAATTTTTTTTTCACTTTCAGGTACGAAGGTGAACTTGTGTATGCGTTCTAGCAAACATGTGAAAGTGCAGAGAGGGCTCATTAGAACTTCCTGTGAAGATGCTGTTAGAGCCACTGCGACTGCTGCTTGCTCCACAACAGCTCAATGTCCGTCACCAATTTCATTTTTTCCACCGCGATTGTCCAGTCCCGTGTAATCTTATATATTGGCCACAGCAGACGTACAATCGAATACATTGGACATAGAACACATGTTGTCTGATACATTGGACACAGAAGACGTGCAATCTGATTTATCGGACTCAGAAGAGGAGCAGGATGCATGAATTGTTCTGAATACGTCCCTTCATCTAATCACACGTCCTTGCAGTAAGGATTGCAACTTTCTCTGTACTGTCAAAGATTGTGCACTGTACTTGATTGCATAATAGTGTGAATAAATAAGATGACCAACTTAGATTAAACAAGCAAGAGCAGTCATTGATCCACCAATGCACTCTCTCAATATGCAGTATAATAAGCCACTGCTCATGCAAAAGCAGTGTGACAAAAATTATCTTTCGAAATCTGTGCTATCATTACTTACAAGAAAAAAATAGCTGACAGGAAAGTGCAACGAAGTGGTCCGCCCTTATATATTTTACTTCTCTCCAGCCCTGCTGTATTCGAAACAATATTTATTAGCAAAAAGTGTGACAATGTGATCAAAAATTTTTTTTCATTGTTTCAGACATGATGACACCACTGAAGAAGTCACTCCACAAAATGAAAGGAAGTTTATTGTTTTTGAAAGTTCACTAAAGGAGCTGCTAAGTACATGTTGAAATTGCTTTGCCACTTGCAAAACTGCAAGCTCGGTGTACGGCCCATTGCTAGAAGTACAAACAGCGTGTACAAACAATCACGTCCTGTTATAGAAAAGTCAGCCATTAATCAATGGCAAGCCAGCAGGCAACATGCTGATGTCAGCAGGGATACTGTTCAGCGGCACCAGCCCCATCACAGTCCTCCATATGTTTGAACACATCAACCTGCAAGTGTTCACGCCAAGGACATTTTTTAACTATCAGTGAGCTTACCTGCTTCCTGCGATTGACAAGGTATGAGAATGTGTGTATTGGTGCAATTGGAAAACAGTTTTGCTTATTCAATTCTGTATAGCATAATAATATTTTTATCATTATGAACCGTAATGTTTTTGTACTTGTGTTCAAGGACAAGTAGTTCTTAAAAGAGGTTCTTGAAAGTCATTAAACACAAGAACTATTTCAGTAACGTTCTGCATTTATTGCAATGTTAAAGAACTCAATTTTTGTTTTGCACCAGATCTGGCAACAAGAACAGGACAAGTTGTTTCGCCAGTTGCATGGCTGCAGTGTCGACCTGGGTGGTGATGGACGCTGTGATTCGCCTGGTTTCTCTGACAAATTTATGACCTACTCACTTCATGTCACCCAGGTCAACAAAATTCTACACTTTGAGCAAGTGCAAGTCGGGGGGGGGGGGGTAACGTACAGCTACTCTAATGTGATCGATGTGTTATCTAGATTTTTTTCTGTTTCTGCAAAAGTGTGCAGATGTGAAATCGAACACCTCTATGGAAAAACATGCATTTGTGAAGTGTCTAGAACTGGTAAAGAAAGGAGGGCTTAGAGTGACACCGGTGACTACAGACCGGCATGTGCAAGTTACGAAGTATATGAGGACACAAGAGCCCATCATCCCACACTTCTATGATGCTTGGCACATCTCGAAAGGTAGCATCCACTGAAAATATCTCGGCCTGATTGATGCGCATTACAGATAGGATACCTTTCTTCATGATGTGTGAAATGCAGCGCATTTGCATACTAAAATTTTTGGAGCAAATAGATCAATAAAGAGGAGTAGAGGAAAGAACACCAGTGTAGCAAATAATGCTGCAGAGAAAAAAGTGCCAAAGTTGAAGAGGCGTTCAAGAGAGGGGGGCATTTTTCATTTGCGTTTCAAGTTATAGCTGTTAGACTTGAGTCAGGACTAGGGCAGTGCTCTGGGGAGGTGCTATATAAAATAATGGATCCGATTCAAACGTTGTTCAAGTTATCTAGCAGGCTGATGGGATAAGCATGTCGAAAGTTCTTTTTTATCTCAGCTATACATAAAAGTACCCTTGTTAAGCATGCATGACATTAACCTACTATGAATGAAATAATTACACCTGTTCCAGCCATCGAAAAGAAGCTGGCCGCCCATACAAAGAAATCTGGAGGCAGTGTACTCGAGCTGTGGATTCAGCCAGCTACCCATCATTTGCATTGGTGTGCAGCCATGAGTGATGACAATCCAGAGCTGCTTACATACATGTGGAAGAACATGGAGCGGCATGTTGCAATATACACTCAGGGCATGCAAGTCTGTACACACGTTGTGCCCATAGTGACCTTGGGGAGAGGCAATATCTAGTTTCTGGTTAGTACTGCAGTTATTTGCTAATTTATGCTCAGCTTAGTTTGCTTCCTAAGTTGAATGCATGTTCTTGTTACGAAGTATAGGTGATGGTGCACTTAAATTGCAAAATTTTCCAGGGCTGGGTTGAATGCATTCAGTGAGTTGTCCATCTTTACTACACAACTCTTTCTTAACCCACCTTAGTAACAATAATAGATGCTATATTTATCTAAAAAAGTGAAATTATACTAATGATCACCACTATTTGAAAGAATGCTTATCCAGAAAGTTGCTTTTGTCAACCCAGGCACCCCTGCACACAAGAAGTTTGCCGATGTTGTTATGGCACCTCGTCTCCTGAAAGAAATTCGGCAACTGGCTCTTTCAACACACAGCTTCAGCTTGGAGGCCTTTCATTATCATCATCATCATCATCATCATCATCGTCATCAGCCTGATTACGTCCACTGCAGGACAAAGGCCTCTCCCATGTTCCGCCAGTTAACCCGGTCCTGTGCTTGCTGCTGCCAATTTATACCCGCAAACTTCTTAATCTCATCTGCCCACCTAACATTCTGTCTCCCCCTAACCCACTTCCCTTCTCTGGAAATCCAGTTAGTTACCCTTAATGACCAGCGGTTATCCTGTCTACGCGCTACATGCCCGGCCCATGTCCATTTCCTCTTCTTGATTTCAACTAGGATATCCTTAACCCCCGTTTGTCCCCTAATCCACTCTGCTCTCTTCTTGTCTCTTAAGGTTACACCTACCATTTTTCTTTCCATCGCTCGCTGCGTCGTCCTGAATTTAAGCTGAACCCTTTTTGTAAGTCTCCAGGTTTCTGCTCCGTAGCTAAGTACCGGCAAGATACAGCTGCTGTATACCTTCCTCTTGAGGGATAGTGGCAATCTACCTGTCATAATTTGAGAGTGCTTGCCGAATGTGCTCCACCCCATTCTTATTCATCTAGTTACTTCAATCTCGTGGTTCGGCTCTGTGGTTATTACTTGCCCTAAGTAGACATAGTCTTTTACAACTTCAAGTGCGCTATTACCTATCTCGAAGCGCTGCTCCTTCCCGAGGTTGTTGTACATTACTTTCGTTTTCTGTAGATTAATTTTAAGACCCACCTTTCTGCTCTCCTCGTCTAACTCCATAATCATCAGTTGCAATTCGTCCCCTGAGTTACTCAGCAATGCAATGTCATCGGCGAAGCGCAGGCTACTAAGGTATTCTCCATTAACTCTTATCCCTAACTGTTCCCATTCTAGGCTTCTGAAAACCTCCTGTAAGCACGCGGTAAATAGCATTGAGGAGATTGTGTCCCCCTGCATTACACCCTTCTTGATTGGTATTCTATTGCTTTCTTTATGAAGCACTATGGTAGCAGTTGACCCCCTGTAGATTTCTTCCAGAATGTTTATATATACTTCATCTACGCCCTGATTCCGCAGTGTTTGCATGACGGCTGATATTTCTACTGAATCGAACACCTTCTCGTAATCTATGAAGGCTATGTATAGTGGTTGGTTATACTCTGAGCATTTCTCTATTACCTGATTGATAGTATGAATGAGGTCAATTGTTGAGTAGCCTGTTCGAAATCCTGCTTGTTCCTTTGGTTGATTGAATTCTACTGTTTTCTTTACTCTGTTAGCAATTACCTTTGTAAATAGCTTGTATACTACAGAGAGCAAGCTGATCGGCCTGTAATTCTTCAAGCCCTTGTCATCTCCTTTCTTCTGTATTAAGATGATGTTAGCGTTCTTCCAAGACTCTGGTACTCTTCCCGTCAGGAGACACCTCGTAAACAGGGTAGCTAGTTTTTCTAACACAATGTGTCCTCCATCTTTCAGCATATCTGATGTTACCTGATCCTCACCAGCAGCTTTGCCTCTTTGTATGCTCTCCAAAGCTTTTCTGACTTCTATCATTACTGGTGGGGTGTCATCTGGGTTACTGCTAGTTCTTATAGTATTAAGGTCTTGGTTGTCTCGGCTACTGTACAGATCTCTGTAAAACTCCTCCGCTATTTTAACTATCCTATCCACATTGGTAGTTATTTTGCCTTCTTTGTCCCTTAGTGCATACATCCGACCTTTGCCTATCCCAAGTTATCTCTTCACTGCTTTGAAGCTTCCTCCGTTTTTCAAAGCGTGTTCAATTCTCTCCATGTTATACCTTCTTACATCGCATACCATACGTCTATTAATCAACTTCGAAAGCTCTGCCAGTTCTATTTTGTCTGTTGTACATGACACTTTCATGATTTGACGCTTCTTAATTAGGTTCTTCGTTTCCTGGGAAAACTTGCCAGTGTCCTGCCTAACTACCCTGCCTCCAACTTCCACTGCACACTCCGTAATGATACTCGTCAGATTATCATTCATTGTATCTACGCTAAGGTTGGTTTCCTCACTAAGAGCCGAGTACCTGTTCTGCAGCAACACTCTGAACTCCTGTATTTTCCCTCTCAGTGCTAGCTCATTGATTGACTTCTTGCGTATCAGTTTCTGTCGTTCCTTCTTCAAGTGTAGGCGAATTCGAGACCGTACCATTCTATGGTCACTGCATCGTACCTTGCCAACTACTTCCACATACTGCACGATTCCTGGGTGTGCACTCATTATAAAGTCTATTTCGTTCTTATTTTCGCCATTGGGGCTCCTCCATGTCCACTTGCGGTTTTCTCGTTTTTGGTAGAAGGTATTCAAAATCCGTAAATTATTGCGTTCTGCGAATTCTAGCAGTAGCCCTCCTCTGGCGTTTCTAGTACCGATGCCATAATCTCCTACTGCCTGGTCTCCAGCCTGCTTCTTTCCTACCTTTGCATTAAAGTCGCCCATCACTATAGTATACTGTGTTTTTTCCTTACTCATTGCCGATTTCACGTCTTCATAGAAGCTTTCAACTGAAGCGTCATCATGGCTGGGTGCAGGCGCGTAAGCCTGTACTACCTTCATCTTGCATCTTTTATTCAGTTTAATTACGACACCTACCAACCTTTCATTAATGCTATAGTATTTCTATATGTTTTCAGCTATGTTTTTGTGAATTATGAACCCACTGCCTGTTCTCTTCTGTCTGCCAAGCCCCGATAGCAAAGGACGTGCCTATTCTGCAGCACCGTATAGGCCTCATCTGTCCTCCTAACCTCACTGAGCCCTATTATATCCCATTTAACACCTTCTAGCTCCTCGAATAGTACAGCTAGACTTCCCTCACTAGATAAGGTTCTAGCGTTAAACGTTGCCAAGTTCAGGTTCCAATGGCAGCCTGTCCGGATCCAGAGATTCTTAGCACCCTCTGCTGCATTGCAGATCTGACCGCCGCCATGGTCAGTTGCTTCGCAGCTGCTGGGGACTGAGGGCCGCGACTTATTTGACGTATGCATGGGGGAGGTAGTGGCCAGATACTGCACCAGGGTGGCCAATCCTTCTCTGGTGAGGGAGTGCGTTCCCGGCGGTGGTTACCGGTGAGGCCGCACTCCGGGCCTCTTAATGCAGTTCCATCAACACGCGGATTTTTTTTAATCCGGTTGGGAACTGCGCGGCACCGGGATTTGAATCACGGACCTCTTGCATACGAGGCAGATGCTCTAACCACTACGCCATCGCCGCTTCTTCGGAGGCCTTTCATAGTGAGCTAATAGACTTCACACCAAAGTCGGCATGCTTCTCACCTGACGGCATGCATGCAAGGTGAGTAGTGAATAATATAAGGAAAAACTTAACTTAAAAAGCTGATGAAAATATTTTTTCATTCAGGACGCAACTGTCAGTTCTGCACTTTAATGAAAACTCAAGCAACAGACAAGCAGTGACAACAAAATGACAATCGTGCTGGAAAATTAAGCACCCAAAAGCAAAGAAAGACATGGCTGTAGCTTGTCCCTAGAAAGCCAAACCTACATATGGAAGGTAGTCTAACTGGCCCTGCAAAAAAATGTAAGGTCATTTGAAACAGCCAGGAGGCAGCTTGGGCACACATAAAAAATTTGAATTAAGTTCACTATGAGCAATAGTGCCTATAACAAAATTACGCACAACTAGGCACTTTTATTCACCTGCATGGCTTTGCAGTCTCAGTGCTTCCATATGATTTGTAATTTAAAAGCACAGTGTGCCTTATTATATTTATATCTGACATGACTGTTCTCAGCCGCCCACCAATGTGATGTGCTGCAATTTAATAGGTTGATGTAGCCTAGGACTGGGCAATCACAACAGCAATGCATTTAAACTAAGATTCACGGAAACATTTTTCCACTGGAGTCACTCACACTCAAACTAACTCATACTTATGGCTCAATCTGAGTCTAAGTGTGTCCACTTGTGAGCGGGTTCACCAACCTATGTATCAAACTAGTAATTTAGTATTTTACAGCACAAGCTTCCGATTTGTGCAGCATATACAATCCAGCCATAAAAACATCGCCGGAATGGAACAAAAACGAGAAAAATACATTTTCCCCTGAAACGAAAAGCTAACTAAATGTGCATTATTTTGTTCCGGAGTGAAACCCAAATTTTTCATCATTTTTCGGTCTACACAAAAACTTGCTAATCCAGAACAACCGAGGTCATGCACCATAGGCAACAATGCTTGTCTAGATTACAGTACTAGTGCGTATCTCAGGCAGGAATTTCATGTAATGACTTGTTCAAATTGATCAAAGAGCAGTGGAAATCAGATCTTTGTAGTTATTTAAGTGGCCTTTCATGTGCCTGTGACAGATGCTTGCATGGAGAGCGCATTTTCAGTGCGGAATTTTTTTTTATATCAACAGTGACCTTGCAAGAAGGGCATGCTCCATAATGGGCTGTCTCTGAGGCCATGCTTAGTCTCTTGACACAAAGCATTGAGCCTGCTAACAAAATTCTTTACTCACTTTCAAAAAAGCCTGCTACGACTCATGTGGACACTGGTTTGTGCCGACTTGTAAGAATCGTGGTGTAGAGTGCTTTTTGTAAGAATGTGGCAAAAACTTTCTCCATTCCTGTCAGGATAACTATACAACACATCCAGTATATTCATAGTTATTCCAATTTAAAATTTATTCATACAAATATTACGACCCTTGCCGAACTTTTTTTCTTCTGGAACAGGAAGGGAACAAAACTTTTGCGATTAAACAAAGCTGGTAACATTTTGTTTAGACACCCTAATAACTATGCAGATGTTTGCTGTGTGTGTGCAATCGGTGTATATTGTGGGCGTCGGCAGGAGCGGTGCAAAAGGGGCGCTTGTCACCCTCAAATCACACCTCCACTTACCCCCCTCCCCCCCAAGCTACTCAAACGCTTGCCTCTCCCCTCTTCCAGCCATAATTCATTACAGTCTCCCAACCACTATCTCCCCTCCAAGACAAAATACTGCCGATGCCCATGGTGTGTATGGTCATCAATAAAGGATGCTTTGCTGTACCTCTTCAGAGCTATGTCATGCATGTCTGAATAGTGTCTGGTATATATATTAAATTACAAGAGGGGGATATTATATGCAACACTATTCAATTCCAGAATATGTTGACCTGATACTGAAGGAGACTGCACGTTGCTGCGAACAGTGGCCATCATTTAACGCAGCTTATGCTGCAAACCGTTCAACTGCTCTACCACCAATGAGCCATTCCTTTCAAAGGCCCCCCAAGCATGACTTGTGGCAGCAAGAAGATCCAGGTTTGCCACTGGCACGGGAAGCACCACACTCTAGCATAGGTGAGCATTCTCTGTTACACTGCTGTAGTAGTGTCGGTCATTTATTTCATAAAATTTATAAGTGAGTGAGACGTTCATGTATAGTGCCGTAAGAAGAAACACTGATGTTACCTGGCAGTTTGTCTGGAGCAGAACGTTTTTATAATGATTTGTTGCTTTCTTCACTCCTATATGCTAACTGGTATATGGCGTTAGAAATGTGAACGGCAGAAAGCATGGCTCTTGATCCATTTAAACTATGGCATGCCTCCACTACTGCTAGGTGAATCTAGCCGGCATCACTGTAGCCCTAGAATCACGTTCCTTCTGGTGCTATTGCACAGCAAGAGCATGATTTTGTCCTTAAATTCCTCTCAAATGTGATAGTACATGAAGCTGCACATTTATAATTCTCATATTTCTGCTCAGTCAGCTGAAAAAAGAAAGAAAACAAAAAAGACTCAATCTGTCAAAGGAACAGGTGCGGACAGAGTGCACATATATATTCATTGTTCCTACTTATGCTTCATAGGCACTATCAGGACATTAAAAACAATATAAAGTTGTTTACAAAAAAACAAAGAAATAGAACGAAGTGATGCAATTTGCATTTTAAATAATTGTGGCTTCCTAGGCATGTTACGTTTTGAAATCCTTTCATTTGCAGTAGACCTTTACGAAATTCAAGTCATTAGTCTTATGTACAATTTTTTTATTGAAAAGGCTTATTAATTGTGTGCATACTTGAAACAAGTGTAAGTTTCAAATGCAAATTTCTGTCTTATTTGGTGTACAGCACAAGCTGGAAGGACCTTTCGATGATATCTGCCCAGGCGCCCCCAAAGCCAGTGCGCAAGCTCTCTGTAGCCAATGTAGTGGTACTGCCTGTCAACAAGAGAGGAAGAGCAACAGTCATAATTTCCTTCCAGCATATCTACTTTACAAAGTCACCCTTTAGGCCAGAGAAACTGAAGAATTAATTGGCGTGAAGCTGAGTTGAAGTTCAGTAGCATTACAGGCATCTCTTTGTCTACCTCCAAACTCATTTCCAAGCTGGACGAATTGATCTACCGTGAAATTTTTCCTAGCAGTGCAGTGAACTCTGAATTGCACAACATTGTGAGGTTCGTTGGAAAAATGAGAAGACAAAGAAAAAGTGCAGCATAACTGCAATTAGCTGTTGTGGCCAGTCTAATGCCTAAAGGCAACAGTTTTCAGGCACACAAACCTGATGGTCATAGCGAACTTTCTGCATAAGAAAGGATGTATGAATGGCACATCAGGAAGCAGCAACAAAACTTTGTTCTTGGTGCCATTCATCTGCACGTGCCAATGCGGTGGTATGCTCCTTGAGCGTGATGAAGCATGTTCTTCTTGAAAAAGGAAGGTGAAAGAGAAACTCGATTCATACAGTGCACTAAGAGAAAAAGATATTCAGGCAAATTGTGAAATGTCGTCGTAAGCCTGTATTTAAAATGGTCTAAGAAAAATAATTTTGACAATTCATTGCCTGTAACTCATTGCATGTAGCTGCACCCTACTGAATCATGACTACCACAAAAGGTAATATTCATGCACTTCAAGTTCTAAAACCTGCGCTTCAACAAAGAGTGAACATACCGTATTTTCATTCCACTGCACAAATTTTTCAAAAAATAATATAATACGTGCGACTTTTCCTCACAAACAAACTTTTATAATAATGTTGTCCTATATCACTATCAAATCGTTTTTGAATACAAAAAAAAAGCCACTGATGCACTCATAGCCTAGACAGATGGTTCGTAGCCCCGCTGTGGTGGTCTAGTGGCTAAGGTACTCGGCTGCTGACCCGCAGGTCGCGAGTTCGAATCCCGGCTGCGGCGGCTGCATTTCCAATGGAGGCGGAAATGTTGTAGGCCCGCGCGCTCAGATTTGGGTGCACGTTAAAGAACCCCAGGTGGTCGAAATTTCCGGAGCCCTCCACTACGGCGTCTCTCATAATCATATGGTGGTTTTGGGACGCTAAACCCCACATATCAATCAATCAATCAATCAATCAATCAATCAGGTGGTTCGTACCATACAAGCACACAATATAACTCATGCAGTCGCTGAGGCTTAGGCCTACCTTCATTACTGAATAAATATTAGAAAGGAAGAACACTGCTACCAGTAAGACGTGCAAAGAAATCTGAGTGCACTTTTGCGAATCTGAATGATGATATGAATGAAATGAAATAGTTCTTGCATTTTTAGGTCGTTTTTTTCTATTTACGTTCAGTGTTTCAATGAACATTTTTATATATAACACCACTGTAGATGAGCCATGTTTATTTAGTGCTTTTTTATTGTTGTCACTACCACTGTTCGTGATATGATCTATATTTTATAAGATGCTGTGTGTTATTCAGGATGTTTTATTTTCTCAGTTGCACTGAAAGAGTGTATTTAGGTATATGGTGAACATATGTATGTATGCTGGTTTTAGTGGTACTGCCACCACGTGAATGCCTTCAGGCAAATTCAAGATGTATAGTGGAGCTTTCGCCTGTAGGACCCTCAACAATTTTATTGGAAAATAATACTGTTTCTGATGTATTGTTATTGTATAAATAACATGTGTGATTGCAATAAAACTATTATTTGCACTTGTGTGTGTCTCCCTTTTGATTATCCCTGTCGCGGTGGATACATGATACAAATTATGAACTTAAACCAAATTGTCTGGCAACGTGACTTGGCAATTCTTTGAATGTTGTTGCTGTAGGCCTGTCATTTAGAGGCCTACATATTCCCATAATCATCTCAACAGAACAGCACTTCTAGGTTCCGCTGTGCTAAGGATTCAGCACATTTATTTACTATAGTTTGATAAGAAAAATTAGCTGCTTCTAAAATTTTAAAGCTTATTCAATGAGGAGCTATTCCGGGGTGATACGAGTGTAACTATGCTATAAATTTGTTTTGTAACCCACTTTATAACCTACAGTTTCTTTCCTGCTGACATATTGCTTCACATGCAGCCTCGATTAGACGTTACACACTCAAAATGATGCATCTAAAGGAAAAGTGGTTATCATACAAATGGGGATGAGGGGTGACTGCAATGAGATCAGTAAGTAGGCGTCTCTACGGGAACAAATTACGCCTACCAGAAACGTCTGCCACTTAAGGCCTGATAGAATGGTATCCATCAGTCTCCGAAATGTTGCTGGAGCTGAGCACAATCCGAAGGGCAAGACTTTAAATTCGTAAAGCACGTCAAGCGTAACAAAAGCAGTTTTTTCTCTGTCTCGCTCATCGACCTCGATTTGCCAATATCCGTTTTTCAGGCCCATCGACGAGAAGAAGCGTGCATGCCTCAGCCTGTCAAGTGAATCGTCAATACGCGGTAATGGGTATATGTCTTTCTTTGTCACGCGGTTTAGCTTGCGGTAGTCCATATAGAAGCGTAAGCTGCCGTCTTTTTTCTTAACCAGCACTACCGGTGACGTCCAAGGGCTTTTTGATGGCTGAATGATGTCATCATCGAGCATTTTCTGGACTTGTTCTTGTATTGCTTCGCATTGTTTTGGTGCCACGTGGTATGGGTTTTGTCGAATAGGTCTTGCCATCTCTTCCGTTATAATTTGGTGCTTTGTCAGTGGCGTTTGATTTACCCTCGAGGTAGATGAAAAACAATCTTCGAACTGTCCGAGAACATCTAGAAGACTGCCTCTGCGCTGGAGATAAATCTGTGCTCACGTCGACAGGTGGTGGTGTTGAAGCGGCTGGCGTCTCTGCCTCTTGCACTGCGAAGCACTCGCGCAATTCTACAACTTCTTCAAAGTATGCAACTGTGGTACCCTCTGTAATGTGTCGATGCTCGTTGCTGAAGTTCGTCAACAGTACCTCTGCTTGCCCAAACACTACGCTGACGAGACTTCTGGAAACAGCAATTCCTCGGGAGAGTAAAAGTGTCGATACTTGTTCCGCGACACGTTCTCCAGTGTGCTGCGTGTTACATGTGACAGAGACGAGGCGGCATGATAACGGTGACATGGTCACGTCGTCAATTACGCGCATTGGCTTGTGCTGCAGCGCTAGGCTATGGTCCGCTGAGAAGGTCAGTACACCGTCCAGTATATTTATCATGGCACCGTACTCCCGCAAGAAATCCATACCCAAGATGGCCTGTTTACAACACTCAGAAAGAATAATGAAGGTTGCAACAAATGATGAATCCCCGATCTTCATTTGCGCGGTGCACTTTCCGGTAGGTGTCAGCAGCTGGCCTCCAGCTCCTCTAATTTGCGGTCCCGTCCATTCCGCTTTCACCTTCTTGAGCTTGTCGGCCAGATTCGCACTCATTATTGAAAATTCCGCACCTGTGTCGACCAGTGCCGTCACGTTGTGACCGTCAATTGAAAGTGTAAGGTTAGCGGTGATAATCTCGTCTTTTGTCGATTCATTCGAAATGTGCGGCGCTTCGTGCAGCGGTATTGGGGGATTTTCAACTCTTCGGCAATTCGCAACCTTCCCCCTTAAGGTCGCTGCTTTTAGTTTCCCCGGCGTGGACTGGGAGATCTTCCTCTCGCCATGTCCGTGGTGCTACCTTCAATAGATTCGAGAAAATGACCAGGAGAGGGCGAGCGTGACCGCAACCCAGGAGAAACGTCTCGCGAGATCGTCGTGCTCGTATCACCGTTGCGTCTTCCATTGAAATAGCACCGAGGGGTAGTGGACGGAAATCCTTGGTACCCGGCAACGCGATGAGAACAATACCACACGATGTGGCCTGCTTCCACACAATGGAAGCACAAGGGCCTGTACTCAGAAGTACGCCAATTGTCGGTTTAGCGGAGTGGAGGTCGCATCAGCGTCGGCGTTTCCCTTTAGTACGAAGGCACTGTCGGCGGCTGTTGCTGGTGGTACTGCTGAGGTGGCAGCACGTTAGATGGCTGTCAACGGAGAATATCTGCATAGGTTGGCCTAACCGTGTCAGTGTTCGGCTCGGGAAGTCAAAGCGCTTGCCTTATCTCTTGGCGCACAACTTCTGTGACCGACGCAATCTCGTAGTCATTCGGTGTTGCGGCGAGCTTCTTCACCTCTTCTTGCACAATTTCGCGTATCAGGTCACGTAAAGAACGCTCGTCAGGTGTCACAGTGGTCATGGCAGTTGCGCTGATTTGTCCAACGTTGTTTGGGCGGTCGTACTGGCGGTAGCGTAGCTGTAGTGCGCGTTCAATGGTGGTCGCCTCCTTCGAAAATTTATCGACGCTTGAAGGTGGGTTCCACACAAGACCAGCAAAGAGCTGCTCTTTAACACCGCGCATGAGGTGGCTGATCTTTCTGCTCTCGGACATATCGGTATCAGCTCGAGGGAAGAGAAGAGCCATGTCCTCAACAAACATAACAGCACATTCGTTTGACTTTTGAATCCGTGATTCGAGAAGTCGTTGGGCATACTCCCGCCTTTCGGTGTTTGCGAAGGTGTCAAGGAACTTCCACCGGAACTCATCCCACGTTGACCACATGCGATTCGTTGACCATGCGTGAGCCCCGTCCTGAAGAGGGAAATACACGTAACCCAACTTCTGGGCGGCGTTCCACCCGTTAACGTTGGCTGTGCTCTCGAACTCCTCAAGCCAGTCATCTGCGTCCTTATATGTATTGCCGTAGAAGTCAAAAGGAATTTTAAGGGTGAAAACAGTCACCTGTATGGTGCTTGGGCTGGTCGTGGCGGGGCTAGTGCTTCCAGGCGTGGTCATGTTTTCCGTTCAAGGACCAAACTCTGGGCTCAGGCCTACCAGGTGGCGGCTGGCGCAGTGAACGGGTGTGTCGACGAGCGGAAGTCTTTGTAAACTAGATCCCGGGCTGTTGGAAGGTGTCCTGGGCATGTACCCAGTGCCTCCACTAGTGTCACGACGCATACACAGTAGAAGTGGGATATAGAAGACCTCACTTTAAATATAAGGCACGCGTAAAGAGGACTGGGCAAGAACTTCGTCTTTCTTTCTAGTTGCGCAAGCTCCTCTCTGCAGGTTGAATGCGACAATATCATGGTTAAAATCAAGAAAAGGAAATGAACATTGGCCAGGCATTTAGCGCGTAGACAGGATAACCACTGGTCATTAAGGGTAACTAACTGGATTCCCAGAGAAGGCAAGCGGGTAAGGGGAGACAGAAGGTTAAGTGGGCAGATGAGATTGAGGAATTCGCGGGTGTAAAGTGGCAGCAGCAAGCACAGGACCGAGTTATCTGGCGGAACATGGGAGAGCCCTTTGTCCTGCAGTGGACGTAGTCAGGCTGCTGCTGCTGATGATGATGTCTGAAATTGACTGCAGTGCCACAGAGCTGGTCTGCGGGACCATGCTTCGCCTGGCGATTTTTTCACACGCAATGGAGATGACAGTACCATTTCTGCCGGAGACTACGCCAGCTGTTTACGCAACATTATGAGAAAGCTTCGTGCTCAGCCGCCTCGTCAATCGATGCCGCGACCTACCGTATATACTCATGTAAGGGCCGCACTCCCAACTTTGAAAGCGGAAATTTCAAACAAAAAATAATAAAGTTCAAAAAGTCCCGCCAGAAAAGTGTAGTTAGTTCATTTACAGTAGGGTTGAGAGGCGGGCTAGTTGGTACAAATTCATAATGGAACAATTGGAAGCACAAACCACCCATTGGTATGCGCTTCCACTTATCCTACTATGAGTTCATTTACAGCTAGATGGCACTGCAAGCTTTTCCGTTTTTATTCTACTTTTGCCGACGCGCCGACCAAGCATAGAGTTTCGTAAAATTCACTAGAGGGGTTCTGGCGCTGCGATCGTTCAGCGACCAAGGGAATGATGGGTAGTACACACACTTGCCTAGTCCTCGTACTTGTGGACGGCGAATCATACTTGCAACTTCCTTTATTGCTGTGTTTCGGTTTTGCTTTGAAAAAAAGACTAAAGCCTTTTGAACTTCGTGACCCGTTTTGGAAAGGTAAGTCTAAAAGAATAAGAAGATGAAGCGCAACCGCTGAGCATTTGCTAATACTTGTTTTGTGAGAAAACAGCTTCAAGTCACACGAATACACACGGAGCCAAAAGCCGGCCAAGAGTACAAATATTACACAAATGTGTGTACTACCCATCATTCCCATGTTCGCTGAAGCGCCGTGCGTTGCAGCTCCCATAGACACTAGCGCCAGAGGTCCTTCTAGTGTATATTAGGAAATTCTATGCCTTCTAGTACACGCAGTTGACCCCCTTCTAGTAACGCAAATTACAGTGCGCCATCATATTTGCCTCGTGCGGCCTTTTTGTTGGCATCGTTCCTGGCAGCGCGACTTCAGGTCGGTGTTGTCGGTGTCACTTTGTTGGTAGTAGTGAGCCCCAAAGAAGTCAGCGCACGTGACAGACGATGGGTCGGCATCTTAGATCATTCATTGCAGCATTTAAGCTGCAAGTTTTGACTATGCCAAGGAGACCGGAAATCGAGCAGCTGGACGACGTCAATGAGTAGCTGGATGAGTAGCGATGAGTAGCGAGCAGCTGGACGACGTCGAAGTACGACGTCGATGAGAAGCGCGTGCGTTACTGGATGAAGCAAAAAGATGCCCTCGCCGCTACTAACAGGAGCCGAAAGGCGTTTCGCGGTAAAAAGTGCAGGTACCTGCAACTCGAAAGCGAGCTCATCCACTACGTCGTCGACACACGAAGGGACGGCTACGCCGTATCGACCCACATGATACGCGTCAAAGCCCTCAATACAGCTCGCCACATGGAGATACCTCAGGCACGATTCGAGGCAAGTCGGGGCTGGACTATGCGGTTTATGAACCGTAACCAGCTTTCTCTTCGGCGCCGACGTTTTGCCAAAAACTGCCGCGCGAGTACGAAGACCATGTTATAAAGTTTCATCGCTTCGTGAATGCTCTCGGGAGGGAGCATGAGTATGACCTGTCCCACATTGGGAATGCGGACCAGGCACCTGTGTGGTTTGATGCACCGGAAAGCACCACAGTAGATTTGAAAGGTGAAAAGAGTGCGTCTGCGCGCACGATTGGTGCGGAACGTCAGAGGTGCACTGTGATGTGCATCACGGCATACGGCAGGAATCTTCCACCGTACGTCGTATCTAAAAGGAAGACTCTCCCAAAAAAGAAATCCCTCAGAAAATTGTCGTACGCACTTAAGATGATGATGATGATATATGGTGTTTTTTGGCGCAAGGGCCATTTTTTGGCCAAAGAGTGCCATTTAATCTTACTAAAAATATCGACAATGATTGTGATGAGCGGCTGTATAAGGGCCATAAAATTCCTCGCGATAAGGCGGGTAAGAACATACAAGTAATAAAATGATGACCATGCCGTGAAAGATGTGTGTGGTGTGAATGATGACAAAAGTTGGTTATAATAAGACGATGGTGGATATGTATGGCATTAGCACAAGTGCCTCACTCGTTCATACCCTTGCGTCCAAGGGCCGTGAGGCAAGTGCTTTCTTGTGTAACCTCCGCAGCAAAAACCTCTCTAGAGAGGTCGTGCTACGGAATGCCCGGGTATATGATATGAAAATTATGAATTTCTTTTAAAAACGCTAACAATCATTTATGACTAAAAAGCGGTTTCCTACCGACGAACATTGCAGGGTGTAAAGGTATATGCTGTCGGTAGGGTAATGGAAAATATCGTTTTCCTAGAGTTTCTAAGTGTTTGCACTGGATTAACATGTGAAGGGCTGTCAATGCTTCACCACATCTGTCACACAATGATTGATCGCCACCAGACAAAAGATATGTGTGTGTCGTGTATGTGTGTCCTATCCTGAGTCTCGTTAGTATTACCTCTGTATGACGCGATTTCGATACGGGCAGCCAATGACCAAGGTGTGGCTTAATAACGTGTAGTTTGTTTTGTGTGTGTGTATCCCACTTGCTCTGCCAGTATACCCTGAGGTTTCGTTTGAGAGATGGCTTAA